TTAAATAATCGAATATACGATAATACGATACCAAATCACACGTTCGCTACTACCATCTGCTCAAAAAGGAACATATAGAGTTTAACAAAGCCGTCACTTTGTGAAACGTCTATCAACATTTCTTTTTGACGGTTATTAAGGCTTTGATGGCGTGTCGCTGACCCAGTGGTCTTTAAATCGCCGATAACACATTTCAGCAGCTTTTCATTACGACACCGGATTAACACCTGTTTGGGCTAAGGCGAGTCACATTACAACAAACGTTGCTGTATAATCATGTCGACGATACCGAAACAGAAACAAAGGAACCTCGTTGCCTTCAGAAACCGTGAAGGATGGGAAGTAACAATGCTTTTAAAGCCCACTTGTCATAATATATTGTTCAGTGTTCGCAAGGAGCTTTACAAAGTGTATTGCATGACAGACTGAATCTGCTCACCGCATGCGCGAATATGTCGGCTGCAGACCATTAAGACATCTGAACACAGCACATTCCAAAGGTGTGTCAACAATGGGCCGGAAAAATACCCACAGACACCATTCCGAAACCGTCTTCAAATACAACACGTGGTGACCTATACTGACAGAAATTGGTCTGTGGAAGGTACGCAAGCGCGCAGCCAAGTTAGTGGCTTGCTAAGGTGGCTACCCACAAATAAGCGGTTTTTGCAAAACGTCGTCAGTAAAAGTAAACGTCAAATACTGAACATTCATCCATCCTTCTCACCAAAACTGTTGCATCAAGGCAGGCCTCACGCAAGTCAGTCATGAACAGTCATCAGCACACATCTGCATGCTGAACTCATCAAATGAAGCTACCCCAGTGCGCTGGTTTGTCCGATCCAAACGAGTTCCCAAGGGCTACGGGCCCCATTCACTCATGGATGTCGTCATGCGCCTGATTATTCTTCTTGCTGAAACTTTCATGGCAATGCGGCGAGTGGATGTAATTCCTAAATCGTGATTGGCGGTCTTGGGCTGGCCGGCGAAGCACTGGAATTCCCATATCTTAGCCGTGCAGAGTCTTCAGAAAGATCGGATGGCTGGCACAGGCAGACTGCCCCAACTTAACGGGTCGGGAACCGGGAAGAGGGACAGGGCCCCCTGGAGCATCCATTGACCGTTTGAAAGCCGGGTCTCCAATGGACCTTCAGCAGTCACAGGGGCCCTGGTGTCGAATGAACCTGTAGGTACATTGCTGGCCCCACTGCAATGACGAGCTCAAGGTTTCCTCTAGAGTGCGGAAGACCAGGTTTTTCCAAATGTGAGGGAAATACGCTCAAATTACATCCAGGGGGCCTCTTGCGCCCATCGGGCGCCTTGGGGCCGTGAGGGCCTCTATGTCGGCCAGGGACCACCGATACTGAACAGTCCGCTCCGTGTCGGTTTGACATTGGAGACGCCTCCCAAGGAGAGACATGGGACCACGACTGTCACTGATCGGCTCTTGCATAGGTCGGGGTGCCTGAAGCATTGCGTTGGTTCGTAGCCCACAGTGCCTGACTGTGCAGCCTGTGTCGACATGGGGGGCACAATTACTGAGCCGGGACGGAACGTGACCCGGGTGCCACAGGGTCTTTTTCGTTGGATGGAACGCTCTAAAAATGAAAGCAGATATGATCAGTTGTAATGACAGGCCTGTATTGTCACAATGGGAGTGCCCTTGCAGGCCTAGGGCACCAGTATCGAAGGTGGGTTAGCCAGCTTATTTCAGGCCTCGTTAAGACAAGATCGTGCCCCTGTACCATGTACTGGACCCTCTACGCCGGTAAGCGATCCTGTTACGTCAATAGGGGACCGCGCTTCGATCCAGGGCAAACTGCCGTGGCCAAAGGGTCTCCCTAGTTTATTTATAAATGCTTCTCCAACGGGGGAAACACCTCCGCTGCTGGACGAAGCGCCGTATCCACTAGAAGCTCCACCTCCGCTGCTGGACGAAGCGCCGTATCCACTAGAAGCTCCACCTCCGCTGCTGGACGAAGCGCCGCATCCACTGGAAGCTCCATCTCGGCTGCTGGACGAAGCGACGTTTCCACTAGAAGCTCCACCTCCGCTGCTGGACCGAGCCCCGTATCCAGTGGAAGCTCCATCCCCGCTGCTGGAGCCTCCATCTACGGCGGTAGACGGAGCACCATATCTGTTAGATTCTCCACCTCCGCTGCTGGGAAGAGCTGTGTAAGAGCTCCGCTGCTCCGCGGAGCACAGCGGAGCTCCGAAGAGCTCCGCTGCTGGGAAGAGCTGTTTCTCCAACGGGGGAAACATTTATAGACATGGCTGACGGATGTTTGCCTCGCAATGCCCTCCGTTTTAAGGAATGATCACTGAAAAGTCTTGAGAAGTCACTCTCGCAATCCGATCCTCAGGGCTTGAAATACCTGTGATTATTGACACAACTTCAGGCACCCGTGACCATAAGCACGGCCTGAGTCACCCGTGACCATAAGCACGGCCTGAGTCACCCGTGACCATAAGCACGGCCTGAGTCACCCGTGACCATAAGCACGGCTTGAGGCCCGGGTGACCATAAACAGGGCTTGGAAATGTCAGCGCTGTCAATGCGACCGATGGTTGCTGCGTGAAGTCCTTCGACCAGTGGCTTTGGAATGTAGACCATCTTTGGCATGAGTCTAGCTCAGAAACTCAAAGGCTCGAGGCATTAGCAAGGGCTGGGATGTGAACTGCAGGGCATCACTTTGAAAATGTTCAAAACACCATACAAATGTAGAACAGTCCCTCCCGATGCCTTGGGGGGCAGGGCCAACTAACGTCAAAGAGGGCCCACGAAGTTTGGGGACCCCAGAATAGTTGACTGCCCCTCCCCCTTCTCAACTTTCGATTCGCCGCCACTGCTTAGACGAGGCTCTGCCGTTGGAATTTTTGCAATTGGTTATGAAAGCTTAGCTGACGACAGGAAATCACAGCACGACCCGCATTTTTGATGGTTAGCATAGATATTATTCAGCTTACGCCTGACAGGAGATATTCAGGCATGCTTGTTCAAGCTTAGCTGTCGGTAATACTCGAGTGCACGGGATGTTTACAAGCATGTGGCTCAAAGTGGAACTCTGGTATGGAAAGTACTAGCTACACTTCAAAATGCACCTAGCACGCAAGAACGCCACCTGAAAAATAAGGAGGCAAATACTTATCTTTGTGATGTAAATGCTGCCATGTAATTTGGTGCATATAAATGTACAGCCTATAATACATGTGGAAACAGTAAAAAAATTTAACGCGTGGTAAGCAAAGACCCGCCTTCGCGCCTCGCAATACATTAAGCCGTGGAAAAATGCTGTTCTATCAAATTTCGTCACTTATTAGATGCCGTACTTTAATAGCGGAGACATCAAACAAGGGATGGCGCCATCAACCAACTGTTACCACTTGACCCAGCGCCAACAGCCAGCGGCAGCCGTCACCGTCAAGTCAAGCATTGTTTTCTGCCGTCACCAACCAGGCCGGTGAACCATCAGTGACAACGAAATGTACATATATATATATATATATATATATATATATATATATATATATATATATATATATCTCATATTGTCATATGACGTTACCGCACAAAATTGCCTTCAATGGCTAAGCCCTCTTTCAGCACTGACCAATCGAAGGCCCACATATCGTCATTGGCGGCCGTCGATTGCTGCCTGTGGAGGCATATCCCATGTACCGGCACAGGGAAGACCAAGTTTAGCTTTTGTGCTTTTTATCTCAGTGTGCCGAGTTTTGGTACAACAAATTGCTACATAGGCACGCTGAAACAAGATGCGAGCACACAGAAGATCCATGAACCACTTTACCTTCTCTGAACCGCGGTGTGCTACGATAACACATGCATACACAATACAAGTCTGAAAGACATTCAGCAAGCCAACACTGACATAATATCATCGAGTTCTTTTCAGGAATTCACTGCATGAGCACCGTAGTGGTATGTGCCAACGTACCACTTGATCCTAAAACACTCCATTAGATCTTGGCTGGGATCATCAAACCCTATTCGCGAAGATGGGACACGGCGGCCACCTGGAAGCTAAACAGGGGCACTGTATCATCGAACCCTATTTGCGAAGGTGGGACACGGCGGCCACCTGGAAGCTAAACAGGGGCACTGTATCATCGAACCCTATTTGCAAAGGTGGGACACGGCGGCCACCTGGAAGCTAAACAGGGGCACTGTATCATCGAACCCTATTTGCGAAGGTGGGACACGGCGGCCACCTGGAAGCTCAACAGGGGCACTGTGTGCCCGTATGGAGACATCTTCTGGACCTGATACGACACCGGGAGAAGGGTTTGAGACCTAACGGTATTCAATGATTGGGACGGGACACCATGTCCACCAGAAGACGACTGGGACGGAGCACTGTAACCGCCAGAAGATGGTTGAAACAGAGCACTGTATCCACCAGAAGACGACTGGGACGGAGCACTGTAACCGCCAGAAGATGGTTGAAACAGAGCACTGTATCCACCAGAAGACGACTGGGATGGAGCACTGTAACCCCCAGAAGATGACTGGAACGGAGCACTGTATCCACCAGAAGATGACTGAGACGGAGCACTGTATCCACCAGAAGATGAATGGGACAGGGCACTGTATCTACCGGACGACAGCTGGGACGAGGCACTGTATCCACCAGAAGACAGTTGAGACGGGACACTGTATCCCTCAGGAGATGGTTGGGACAGAGCACTGTATCCACTGGAGGATCCCGATGCCTGGGACTCCCTGGCTGCTCCAGAGCCTCCGTAGGGTCCGACAGATGCTGACCTGGGAGATGTGTAGGCGTCACCGAGCCCGGCAGACCTCAACTGAGACTCACTTCCGCCCAATGTACCGGCGGCAGATCCGTATCCAGCAGGCAATCGAGCTCCGCTAGAGGAAGGTCCGCTAGAACTTCCACCTCCGCCGCGGGACGGAGCTCCGTATCCACTAGAAGCTCCACCTCCGCTGCTGGACGAAGCGCCGTATCCACTAGAAGCTCCACCTCCGCTGCTGGACGAAGCGCCGTATCCACTAGAAGCTCCACCTCCGCTGCTGGACGAAGCGCCGTATCCACTAGAAGCTCCACCTCCGCTGCTGGACGAAGCGCCGTATCCACTAGAAGCTCCACCTCCGCTGCTGGACGAAGCGCCGTGTCCACTAGAAGCTCCACCCCCGCTGCTGGACGAAGCGCCGTATCCACTAGAAGCTCCACCTCCGCTGCTGGACGAAGCGCCGTATCCACTAGAAGCTCCACCTCCGCTGCTGGACGAAGCGCCGTATCCACTAGAAGCTCCACCTCCGCTCCTGGACGAAGCGCCGCATCCACTGGAAGCTCCATCTCGGCTGCTGGACGAAGCGACGTTTCCACTAGAAGCTCCACCTCCGCTGCTGGACCGAGCCCCGTATCCACTGGAAGCTCCATCCCCGCTGCTGGAGCCTCCATCTACGGCGGTAGACGGAGCACCATATCTGCTAGATTCTCCACCTCCGCTGCTGGGAAGAGCTGTGTACGCGGTTGAGCCGCTACCTCCTCCGCCGGACAGAGAAGGATATGACCCTGCTCCGCTTCTGCCGAAGCTGCCACCAGCGAGACGGGGTGTCGCCACCAGGAGTGCAATATAGACCTGAAAGGTAGCTTTGTCAAATACGGCTTATAGTCACACACTGGTCAACGAATGCCTTTGTACGAAGGGCACTTAAAAAATCGTAAATACAACATTGCATCTGCATATCTATCTTGGCCAACTCTGGACTTATCATACGATGCTGATGACCTACCACACATGCAATGGTCGAATGTATCACTGTGGCAGGTTCAGTGGAAGCATAATGTCACTTGTCCTAAATATATATTCCCAGTTTTAACAATCAGGTTTGTCGGCTTCCTCTGCTGAAGACGCCGAGTGTCTCCACTGGCTTGCCGCCTGCTTACCGTGATCCGCCTCATGTTGGCGGCTGTAGCTCCGGAGCTGTGTGTGCTGTGTGCCGCCGGCCGGCCGGCTATATACCTCCGTCGCAGACCGCATGATAGTGCTGGGTGAGGGGAGGGCGGCGCCCACCCCGGCCCGGTCTGTTGGAAGCCGTGGGTGAGCCGCTCGGCCACGCCGAGTGACAAGCGGTTCCACAACATTATTGATGCTGCGAACACTTCTACCGGCAGGGGTGCTATACTACCTCAAGTGCCAATGCTTACTCGCGAAATTAGTGGTACGCGGCCAAAGTAACGCTACAAAAAGTGATGCCTGTCATCGCTTTTAATACAAAAACTTATAATGCCATTTATTGTGGTGGTGCTAATGTGCGGCACTAATGTCATGCTTACAGTACAGCACAAATCTTAGTTACAGTACAAATCTTTTCAAGGATAAGTAAAGACCGTATAGATCATTGTTGCAGAAGTAATGAGGGGCCTACGTTTTTGCAGCATACATAGAACATTAAAGTGCTTTTCCCAGGCAAAAGCCCAACGGCAGAGGCAGTCCAGCTTTAACACAATAAATAAACGATACACACATAAAAACCTAGCGAAACATAAGCATACACATTTCACACAGCTACACATTCGCCTTTCACACTCAGATACAACGGTCATCAAGAGTACACTCTATGAGTTCCGGCGAACCTAAACAAAGCAGATCGGAATGGTTTTGCTGGTTGGAAACAATCGGGTGAGAGAAAATGCTGTAAAAAACGATTGCAGGCAATAGGCAGACGTGTGGCAGATCTATTCACACCGTGTTGAGCCTTGCAAACAGGGGCGGCGTACCCAAAATTGGGATGGGGGAGGGCAAAGCGCTAACGAGGTTCCCAAAACCGATGGGCCCGCATATTTCAAAACAGGCGCGTAAACAGAGCCTTGGTAAAGGAGGGGCAGAGGTTTGACAAAGATCCTCTGGTAGTAAAATCCACCAAAATCGTCAAATATGGCCCATTTATCAATTGGCGCATGTTTCCTGTGATATTTTTATATTCACCCTATATAACACGAGTGTAAACCATAAACTGCGGTGAGATCAATTCTACCTGCTATTTATATCAATCAGTTAAAGAAACCATACGTTAAACGGCTGCATGTAATAAGTCGCCGGCGCTGGTCCTGCTGCTTGTTTCTAAGCCGATAGAACTCAGAAGCTTTGTCAAAATCTTTATCTGGGCTGTACAAAGATATTAAGGACCCACGAATATGGATCGAAACGGGTAAACAATTTCACTAGCATCGCCAAGAGATGGAAATGGAAATGTTGAACATTCAGGCAGAATTGGTCAGTGACAAAAATTGTGTGACCCTGTTTTGAGCATGCGCGCTCGCAAGCCTTAGTTAAAAAGCCTTGACACCAGGCGTTGCGGTCTCCATAGGCTGCACAGCTTCGGTCCCGAGGCTGACATTAAGCCGTGGCCAATGGATGGACGAAAATGATGGCGCATTTCAAAGAACTGTCTATGCACACTTTAGAGCATTAAGTCGTATAATTTATAAGGCAGCCATGTATATACTTCACTTCTACGACTGCTAGCTTAATGAGTTGAACGGATTGGCTTTTGCAGCACCGCGAAATGGTGCCGGAATGTCTTAGTAGAAATGGAGAAGTAAAGCAGAATCACTGTTTTTATGTTGCTGTAGCTGTTCCGGACCTGAGATGCCCGTTTTCTCAGTCTAAAATAAGTCATTTCATGACATAATTAGGGCCCTTCTTGTGTCTACGAAGGGCCCTCTCCAGGCCTGAGAGGGTCCTTTCTGTGTTTACGATGAGCCCCACCCAGATCTGAGGCTGACTCCTTCTGGGTTTGTGATGTGCCAGTCCCGAGCGGAGACGAACCATACTGAGCCTACCATGGGTCCTTTTCCGGTCTCAAAAAGGCCCTTTCTTCGCCTGAAACAGCTCTAAGGGTTTCCTGCCTGAAATTGATCCTTTCCGGACCTGAGATGGATTCCCCACTCCTATTTTGATTGCAAACAAAAAACGAATCTCTTCCCCAAATCTGCCAGAAGCTCCGCTTGGGCCATCTGCACTATCAGTGAAAGGAAAGTTTTGACCCTTACCTCAGACATGAGAATAGTTTACCCCGCAGATCCATCTTTACTGGCTTTCCGAGCCAAGATGGGCCCATTGGAGAACAGAGATGGGCCCTTTCTAGGCCCGAAAAGTGAGATAGGCCTTCCCAAAGTTTTCTGTTTTTTACCCTATACTGGGCCCATAACCTGATATTAAGGCTACTAGAGAAAGCCACGCAGACGTGACGTCACCATGGGACTGAAATTTAGTAGCCCGTAGTATGGTTTTTGGCTGATACTACGCAAAAGTTGGTAGATAATATCAACATGATTACGAACGGAGATTTCGCCAAGGAGATTTCGAACTGGGTAGCCATCTTGTTTTACATCTTTATTTAAATGTTATGTGAATAGATATTGTACATTTTGCATTCAAAACATTCTAAAGCCAAATCAGTACTACGATCTGCTTCCGAAAATAGATCCTACTAAACCACATTTTCAAGGCTCAGTGCCCGCGACATATTCGTCGAAGTAAACGTGCCTGAACATTTAGATGTAATGCCTATTTATGAAACACATATCTATTTGTAAAAAATGGCTATCATGCATAATGTTTACATAAAATTCATAAATGGGCAGTAACCGTCCTTTTATCGCCGCCGAAATTGCAAAGCTTGCCAGATATTGTCCCATTTGACAGGAAAATTTGCTATCTTGAACTGAAATGGCGCACTCTGCATTTACGTCTCCCGGGGCTCACCATTTACTGCCTCCATTAGGGCAAGCCAGCCCTGCATCCACGCCGGCAATGTTCCTCTTAAGGCTACAGGAAGTGCACTCCAACTTCTCAATGCGCGTCCCAGGGCGCCGCAAGCCCGTCTGCGCCGCCGTTTCTTATCTCCACCCCATACTGTTGTTGTTGTTTGTTGTTCTCTTTTACACAGACTGTTTCTCAGCACTTCCGGCTAGACTTCTCCGGGACAAATCACTGGAGAATGGGTTACCACATCTCACTGCCAGGGGCAGACTGGTAGCGCATTTCAGCAATAAGTTTATAGCTCTGGTGCAAACCAACGCCATTTTCCAGGTGAAAATACTTCATTTAATGTCCTAGGTCTTCAAATAATCGATTTATGGAAATATTTATGTTAAAACCAGCCCACAAAAAAAGCGTTTTCACGCGGCCGTAGCATTGGTGCTATGTGACTTAGTCCCAGGATGACGTCACAGCATCCCAACCCAGAATGCAGTAATGCGGGGCTTGCCTGATATGAGACATGCCGTTTTCGAGTTTGTGATGGGCATTTCCAGACTTGAGAGGGCCCTTTGAGCCTACGATAAGCCTTTTCCCCGAACTGAAACGGACCATTTTTGAGCTCACGATGAGCCATTTTCTCGGCCAGAAAAGGGCCCATACCTTGCCTGGAAGTGACCATGAGTGTTTTCCCGTCTTGAAATGAGTCCTTTCTAGCCTGAGATGGGCTCTTCACGGGCAAGAAGCGACTTCCTTCTGAGTGTACGATGAACTTTTTCCAGACCAGATATGGGCCCTCCACGCCTGCTTTGGAAACACAATGAGCAAGTGCCACCACGTGCCCGAGCCTCCTGGGCCACCTGAAAGTATGGGGGAGCAAAAGTATACTTTTGCCAGTGACCATAAGCGCGGCTTAAAGTGTCTTGAAGTGAAGTGTCGGTCTAAAAACACGAGGCTCTGTCGTCAGGCGTTATATTTGTAACTGGTTATGAGGTGCTGAGCTGATCGCATGAAATCACCAGTCGAACATGCATTTTTCATGTTTAGCATAGATATAATTTAGCATAGAAGTACCAGGGGATGCTCCGCCATGCTTGGACATGTTCTACATCCTTAGGTTTTGGTACTATATGGCTACACGCAATGTTTGCAAGAACGTGACTCGAAATGTTACCCTATCGCCGTAAGTGCCAGGTAGTGTAGACAAGGCAAATCCGTGTCTTTCTCATCTGAATACCGCGATATGATTTAGTGCATATAGATGCACAGCTTACGATGTTAGTAGAAACTGCCCATAGTTCAATGTGTAGTGAGAAGAGAACTGCCCGTGTATGTTGCAATATATTCAGCCATTGAGTAATATTACTGTACCAGATTCCCCTACGTAGTGCATGAAATCCAATTTCCAAGCAATGAACACTCTATGCTTGTGTGTGTTCATGTTGCAGCACATTACAATATATCAAGCATCCTACAGACAAAATACACGCTTGGCTATTACTGAGCTATGTCGTGTCTCCAAACATTCCCGGGTATAAAAACAATGATTCTTTCAGCAAAAGGCACACACATCTTGCATTAATAAAAAGAATGCGTGTTTAGGCTCCAATAGCGTATAGAAACTTTCGCTTACTGCGGCAGCAAGGCATGAGTGGCTAAAAGCCCTCAAGTAATGTGGAAGAAGGTTGTAGCCGACTGGATCCCAATAAACTGCCGTTTGCAACTGTTCTGATGCGCCACAGACGACCTGACTGTGACTTTGTGACTGGCGGGTACGTCTTTCTGGCGTGTTAATGTTTGTGCTGAGTATATTTTCCTATGCTGTTGGTTTTCCCGTCGTGATGATCTTATGAAGAAAGGTTACGTTGTGGCAGTATGCAAGCCGTCTCAGTCAGGGCTGTATCCAGTTTTAAATATGGTCAAACCTCCGTCGGTCTGGCATTACTCACGCGCAAAAATTTAGAATTACCTAGACATATTTCAAGTTTAACTGGTTTGCGCTGTCGTATACAGATATGCAGTAGCGAACTATAGAGATAGCCAAACTCTGTATCATTGCGCCTTTATGTTCAGTGGGAAAACTATGCCTTATGTGAGACAGGGCCACAAGCAGCCTATTGCAGTGTGCTTTCATCTTGGCAATATGCGTCGAGAAGGTGAGTGACCGGTCGAAGGTCAACCCAAGGTTATGAGCCATGCCGCTCCCCCCAATCACGTTATCTCCGACTTGGACTGAGACAGGCGGCACGTGCCGCATCATTTGCTGAATGTCGATCACAGTAACCTGGGTTTTGCAACACTCATTTTCGTAGCATGCCGCGCAAGCCATTGGTAGAGTGTGGAGACTGCTCGTTTCACTTTCGTTGTCAGTCCAGTTAGTTCGAGCTTTATTTCGTGAAATGTCGCCATCACAGCACATTTACATCACACACTTACGTAACGGGAACAATAAACGAGGGTGGGTAACATCAACCGATTGTTAACTACCAATCAAGCGCCAACAATCAGCGAGAACTGCCACTAACCAGACAAAGAATTAACGCTCAGTTCCCACTCTCCCGTGTATGCTCGTCTGTGTACTCATCAGCCGTCATCGGCCAGGCTGCCGACCAATCAGCGACCACGGAATGTAATATCGCCATATATGGTTGAGCCTCTTTCAGCAATGACCAATCGACGTCGCCCATATCGTCATGGACGGCCGTCGATTTCTTCAGGATAGCATATCGCTAGGTAGGAATGCTGGAAAGAGCTTTAATCACACAGAGGAGCCATGAATCACTTCACCCGTCCTGCACCACCAAGCGCTACGATGCCATGTACATACACAACACAAATCTGAAAGACCTTAGGCAAGCCAACACTGATATAATAATCATCGATTTCTTTCAGGAGTTCTGTGCATGAGCACTGCACCTATATGTGTTAACATACCACTTGAACCTAAAACACTTCCTCATGTCAAGTCTAGGGTTACCGAACATTATTCGCGAAGATGAGACACGGCGGCCACTTGGAAGCTGAACAGAGGCACTGCATGTCCGTATGGAGACTTCTTCTGACTATGGTAAGACACTGGGGTAAGGGTTTGGGATCTACCGGTGTTCAGTGATTGGGACGGGGCACTGTATCCACCAGAAGATGAATGGGACGGTGTACTGTATCCACCAGAAGACGGCTGGGACGGAGCACTGTATCCACCGGAAGATAACTGAGACGAAGCTCCGTATTCATCAGACGACGACTGGGACGGGGTGCTGTATCCACCAGAAGAGGACGGGGACGGAGCACTGTATCCGCCAGAAGACGACTGGGACGGGGCACTGTATCCACCAGAGGATCCCAATGACGATGCAATGCTCCCGCCAGAGGGCCCAATCTCACAGCCCCCTCGGCCGGATCCCCCTGTTTCGGATGCCTGGGACTCCCTGGCTGCTCCAGAGCCTCCGCAGGGTCCGACAGATGTTGGCCTGGGAGATGTGTAGGCGTCACCGAGCCCGAAAGGGCTCGACTGAGACCCGCCTCTGCCCGACGTACCGGCGGCAGATCCGTATCCAGCAGACAATCGAGCTCCGCTAGAAGAAGGTCCGCTAGAACTTCCACCTCCGCCGCAGGACGGAGCCCCGTATCCACCGGAAGCTCCACCTCCACTGCTGGACAAAGCTCCGTGTCCACTATAACCTCCACCTTTGCTACTGTGATGAGCTGTGTACCCGGTGGAGCTGCTACCTCATCCGCTGGATAGAGAAGGGTATGATCCTGCTCCGCTTCTGCCGAGGCTTCCACCAGTGAGGCAGGGTGTCGCAACCAGCAGGGTGAGATAGACCTGAAAGATGGTCTTGTCAAGTACAAAAAGATAATGTTTACCTAACGCACTGCAAGTATGCTTGGGAAGCTCGATGTGACTTCGTGGAATGCTTGCCAATTATTTGTAGCGGCCTGACCACGAAGGGCTGTAGTGTTATGGGTGGACAGTATTATTTGCTTCACGCCTTCCACGCTGCGGAATCCCTCATGAAAAACTATGAAAATGACATTGCACGTGCCTTTCAATAAAAGGCAAGTCCAGATTTATCATGTTAAGCTGATGACTTCCCGCAAATGTAATGCTTAAATGTTCTACTATGACAAAGTCTGAGAAAGCCCACGGTCGTTTATCCGGGATACATATCGCCAATTTTAACAGTTAAATATGTCGGCTCTCTCTTCTGAAGTCGCCGAGTGTCTCCACTGGCTAGCCGTCTGCTTACCGTGATCTGCCTCATGTTGCTGGCTGTAGGTCCGGGGCTGTGTGTGCCGTGTGCCGCCGGCCGGCCGGCTATATACCTCCGTCGCAGACCGCATGATAGTGCTGGGTGAGGGGATGGCGGCGCCCACCTCGGCCTCGTCAGTGCGAAGCCGTGGGTGAGCCGCCCGGCCACGCCGAGTGACAAACAGTTCCACAATATTATTGCTACAGCGAACAATTCTACCGGGAAGAGTGCCACGACACTTTTTCTAGTGCCAATCCTTATACACCACAGTAGTGCTTCAGCAGACTCTTTGCGGTGAGGCTGTTACATTGTTTCTGCTTCCGATACAATATACATTACACATATGAAATACATATACGATGCACCGCCAATGCACGACATTAGTACTACGCGGCAAAAGTTGTTCTGCAAACACTTCTATTTCTTGTTGGTTCTGCAAGGACTTGTAGGTTTGTAATAAACTGCTGTCTGCATAAGCGTTGATTGTTTTCGTACTAATCTGTTTTGCTGTTGAGGAAAGCGATATTTACAAGGCGGAAATGCTTAGTTTGATGACTGCAGGCAGATACAAGATCTGTTTGAACCCCGACCTGAGCTTTTGGTGTCAGATGGGGTACTATTCCTGGTGAAGTCACTTTGCCTTAATGCCCGAGGCTTATTGCGTCATGGCCCGGGGCCTCTTGCCCCGCGGCCCGGAACGTCTTGCTTCGGGGGTGGGGCAAGACGCCCCACTTCCAGGCTTCTGGAAAGTCACTTCCCAGAAGCATATGAAACGAAGACTGAGGAAGTGAATCTTTCATAAATCAATAAAAATGTTCGAAAAATGCTTCAATAAATGCACTTGCAATGGTAGTAAGATACGACAAAGGATATTCAGCAAAACGCATTTTCTGGGGCGTCTTGCCCCACCTTGCCCTACATTCATTGACTCACACATTACTTCTATTCTTAGAGCTTATATGCGACGTGAGTTATATGCTATCAAACGTGCTTGAAAAACGTATGCCCCTCATTATGTAGACTGCAAAAGGTTTCAGGGTTATTGCGTACACACAACGTTATATCTATTACAAGATATAACTATACAAGAGTTAAGCGCGACATCAATACTGCGCAGTAAAACCTATACTGCAAAAATATATACCCGTCATTATTTTCCCTGCAAAAACTTGTGCAGCCAATTCTTATCCAGGACATTTTTTTCTGCTGCAAAGGCTTATGCAGTCATTAGCGTTACCCAACAAAACCTAGACTTAATAAATGGTAGCCTACCATTGCCTTTACTTCACAAATGCGTTTATCTTTACGCAACCTAGTGTGTACCCACACGCAACAATATTTCTACTGCCAATACTTAGCCGGGAAGTGCAAAGTGCGTGGACAGCTTTAAGTGGTTAGGTTAGGTTTGTTTTGCAGGCTAGGAGGAGACCCTAGCTGGATACTACTGCTATTAAAGTTCACGGCGCTGATACAAAATGCTATGCTGTCATTTTCTTACCTGATGTCGTTTGTCTTGGCGTTTGATTGAAGGCTGCAGTATAAGTAGCAGAATTTTAATGGTGGCCGTATGAAGAATTAGTTGTGTGGTATCTCATTGTTTTATGAGGCGATGCAGTAGAAGTAATGTCGCGTTTTAGTCAACACCAGGCTATTGGTGTAGCTTCATATTTTGTCGGGAACTCTATCCACCTGTTACATGTTTTTCGAAATTGTGTCACATTGAGGGCTAACGCTATTTTTCTGTATTTAAAAGCAGGTTTGGCCATTTTTCTTGCTCAGGCTACAGACATGATTCGAACCATTAAGGCAGTGCGCCTAGCGTTTTTTAAAATCATTTTTGCTAGAAGAAATGCTGCTTATAATTATGACCGTCGTGAATCTGTCGATCACCGTATTTGCACCTACTGTACTGATACCATGGGGTGGGCCGGATACCTCTAATCTGATTCATCTGCCCAGGTGCTGCCATTCTTCGTTCTGTTTAGGATTTTGGTGATGCTTAACCTGTGCATGGAATTTCTGACGTGTATAAGTTTTGGATGGCCGATATCGTAAAACAAAAGTGTCGGGCATGCGTATTGACAGCGAAAGGAATATATCTTAGAAGTAAATACTTATGGGTTCTAAAAGTAGGCGCAGTAACGAGCATAACTGTTTATAGCTTACGTATCATTTCTTTTTGAGTGTTGTTGTGTACCACTAATGCCACATATAAGTCGTAGTAAAAGTATTGTCGAATATAAGTAAAGACTACATACGTCTTTGTTGTAGAAGTCAAACCATGGATACGTTTTCACTAAAAGCTATGATAAAGGATACGTTTTCAGTAAAAGCTATAAGCTCATGCCTTAGATGATATGACGGGCATCTTTCTTCAACACTCACCCGGATGGCCAGTTGAGTACACTTTGATCAGGTGGAAGGGTTATTTGCGCCTCATGAGATCTTAGGAATAAGAGAGATACATACACGAACGTAACAGAGTGAGTTGGCCTCCATGTGGTCTAAGTTGTGTCAAAATTTGGGGTTCCTTGGTCATGAGCTTGGGGTCAAATAAGGTCAAACGATATCAAACTCTGGACTGGTTTTAAACTGAAACCTGACCCCTTCATTCAACCGCCTTGAACCCATATACCAGCTTTAAGCAAGATATATTTAGCTTTTAGAACCCGTCCAGCAATTGGACCTTTTGTTGATGCGCATCCCAGTGGTTTTGTTTAGTTGACCACGGTAGAGTTGGGGCAATATTACTCAAGGAATGGATGAGTCACCGTAGGATATCCCTCCCCTTTCCAACATCGGCAAGGGCGTATTTTTAAGAGAAGAGAGAAAGAGAGAGAGAGAGAGAGAGAGAGAGAGAGAGAGAGAGAGAGAGAGAGAGAGAGAGAGAGAGAGAGAGAGAGAGAGAGAGAGAGAGAGAGAGAGAGAGAGAGAGAGAGAGAGAGAGAGAGAGAGAGAGAGAGAGAGAGAGAGAGAGAGAGAGAGAGAGAGAGAGAGAGAGAGAGAGAGAGAGAGAGAGAGAGAGAGAGAGAGAGAGAGAGAGAGAGAGAGAGAGAGAGAGAGAGAGACAGAGAGAGAGAGAGAGAGAGACAGAGAGAGAGAGGGGAGAGAAAGAGAGAGTGTCGTTCATAATTACGTCACGCATTTTGAAAAAAATTTGAGCCCTCTCCTTGGTAATGTCCCTTCCTGTTGGTTACGCACTGATTACGGTGGGCGAGGCCCCTTCCCCTGGCCGAACGCCGTTAAATGGAATATTGCACATTTGACGATACTAAAGTAAGCGTCAGATGTGATGAAATAAGCTCACTTGAAACAACTGGCATAATTTTAGGTGGAATATGCTGCTCTAGACAACACGGCTTCTCTGGTCAGTTGGCTTCAGCTTCTCCTCAAAACGTCCTTGTTTGACGACATCATCGTACCTTGCACAACACTGACTGAGCGCCAATTGACGGTTGGTGTGTCTGGAAGTTGACCTCACGAACGACATATATGAACGCCTGAACAAATATTTTATTCTGGCGTTGATTACCACATTACCAATGGAATGGCAGGAGCTTAATCGCATTATTATGGCGTCATGGAGACCTGGATGACATGGAAATACTCTCTCCGAAATAGTGTGCGCATTTTGCCGCGTGTATAGCTCAGAAACTAGAAGGGCTTAGATCTAAAGAAAAATGCGGGGGTGTGAACTGCACTGAATGGTGTTCAAGATAGCTAATTCGGTTCAAAACCCCATGCAAATATAAAAGACTTTCTTTAAGCGTATTGTAGAGGGACGTTCATGTTGCCTTAAGAAAACTTCTCACGTTAAGTTGGTATAAGAGAGTCATCCACAGCCACAATACCCATTTTTGCCAATTTTTCGACCATTCCTCACTAGCTGCTCTGGGCGAAAGCCCTTCCCCTGAATGCGATCGATTTGCTTTGTTTTGTTTTTCTATTTAATTTTTCACCATACACAAATCGAGCCTGCATTTTGCTATCTCTTTGATAGGTGTCATCCAGTATACGTCTGACAACAGATGCTGCACGATGCTAGTCCATGTGCCACATCCTTAGCTGTTGGTACCACATAGCTGCATGTCAGTTTTCGTGGTATGTGGCTCAAAATGCTGACCGCGTGTCGAAAGTAAAGGCTAAGCTTGAACCTTCACTAGACACACAGTGAAGCTAAATATCTATTAAGTAGATAGGCGTCAAGTAAAGAAGGCGTAAAGTAGTAGACAGTCTGTGTACTGTTTACGTAAGCATCAGTAAACGCATACAGAAGTGCACCTTATCATGCAAGTAAACGCCACCAAAAGCTCGGTGTGAACCTCGCAGGCACCTCGAAATACTCAGTATATCTGAACGCATTCATCCTCAAGAGGGGACGAGCACATCCCGAACAACGAATACCGTCGTTGTAATCCCTATTTGTAGCTACTCCGTTGTAGAAACAGGACCTCTTGGTAAGTATTGAGTGCCAGTAACTCAACACAAAATATTTCAACTCATATCGCTGAAGAACCAGGAACTAAAGGTCTCTCTTATTTTCAGAAAAATCGGCACGTGATAACAAAAGAATTGCGTTCGCAACACAAAGTATATTGCACAACGCTGTGATATTACACTGCGAAATACATACTTAATTTACATGATCCCATTTACAAGCAATACATATTATGACATATCATACATCATAGCACACTTAAAACATCGCGAACTTTAGAAGCGGATACAGAAAACAAGAGATGGTGCCAAAAACGAACTGTTGCTTGTAAAGCGAGCGCCAGCAGCCAGCAGCAGCCGTCATCATTCAGACAAGGTATTAAAGCCCAGTCCCCACTCTCCCGCGCTTGCGCGTCTGCGTTCTTACCAGCCGTTATTGCCCAGGCTCCCGAACAATCACCGGCTTGGAGATGTTGTCTCGCAAAATATTGTTTAGCCCTCTTCAAATGCTAACCAAGCGACGTCGCCTATATCACCAGAGGAGGCCGTCAATGCCTGCCAATGGACACAGACGC